ACACACACACACACACACACACACACACACACACACACACTTGGGCAATTGAAATGGGTGTGAATTTGGAGGGCAGCTGGTATAGAAAACCCTGGTAACACATTCCATAGCTGCCCCCCCCCCCCCCCCCCTCAAAGGGAGTCTTTTGTGCGTTTCTGAAAGGCGGAGGGGTGACAGGGTTTCTCCCTTTAGGGGGTCCAGAAGAATACTCGCTCTCAAGACAATAATGACCTCATCCCCACTCTCCGTGCACGTTTTTTTCGTGCACATGTGTGGAGGTGTGTGTGTGTGTGTGTGTGTGTGTGTGTGTGTGTTTGCATCTCTGGACCAGGACGGAGAAAGTCAAAGAAGCAGAAAGCAGGAAGGGATCGGTCAGGGATGGATTATGAAGGGGGGGGGGGGGGGGAGTGGGCTGTCCTCAGGAGGGAACTATTTCTCTCCACAGTCCGATCATTTCATTGTCTTTTCAAATGTTCTGAACGCGTCTTTGGTAATGTAATGTAAGCAGGCGGGGAGCGGCCGAAACAGGAAATTCCTTCACAGCCTTTTTTCTGCTGACTCAGGAGTGGGAACGGAGAAAAGGAGGAATGCGATGTATACGGGGTCTGTGTTTCTCGGGGTCCAGTTGGGGGCCACATGTGTGTAAAACATTACCAACTGGGAACCTGTACGGACCAATGTGGAACGAACAAAACGGGATGATTCTGTGACCAGAACCATAAAAGATCATCTTCAAATGAGAGGAAACCCCAAAGGTTTACAGTGGGGGAAATAAGTATTTGACCCCTTGCTGATTTTGCAGGTTTGCCCACTTACAAAGAATGCTTATTTTTCCTCATCAGATGGTTATCAATTTTTATAAATTCATGTGATGTGATTTTCTGGAATTTTCTTTGGGATTCTGTCTTTCACTGTTAGAATGTACATATGATTAAAGTTATAGATCGTTGCATTCTTTGTAAAGTGGGCAAACCGGCAAAATCAGCAAGGGGTCAAATACTTATTTCTCCCACTGTATAACTTTAATCATATGTATAATTCTAACAGTGAAAGAAGGAATCCCAAAGAAAATTCCAGAAAATCACATCATATGAATTTATTTAAAAAAATGATAACCATCTGATGAGGAAAAACAATAATTCTTTCAGATGAGAGGAACCCCAAAGGTTTATTTCCCATTTTCTGTAACCCTGATGATTACCCAGCATCCTCGTGTCCTTTTCATCATCCACTCCCAGACCACCAGCCCCTCCCCCCCCCCCCCCCCCAAAAAAAAACCACACCCACTCTACACACTCCATTGTGCGAACAGTGGCCATCTTTAAAGCAGCATCCATGTTGCAGAGCCAGAAACCGTACAGGTGTCCCTCCACCATGACCCACATTTACCCGTCCGATCCCACTACAAACACACACATATATACACACAAACACACACACACACACACCACCTCCGGAGGGGGGAAGTGGAGAGGGGAAATGTGAGGAAATGGAGATGATGGGAGTTAGAAAGCGGAGTGTAAATGTGGAGAAACGTTGTTGTGAGAGAGGAACATGTGGCTGAGATGGATGCTGCAGCTGAAAAAAAAAAAGGAGTGGCACTTTAGGACCAACCGGGAAGCTTAACGGAGCCAGAGCGCCATCTGGTGGCCGGGGTAAACCACCAATAAAAGCTCCAACCTGAGTCTGAACCTTAGAAAATCACACACTTCCACAGAAACATACAGTGGGGGAAATAAGTATTTGACCCCTTGCTGATTTTGCAGGTTTGCCCACTTAC